AATTTTCTATGGTGGTTGCAAGATTGGTCAAATCTACCGAAACCCATACCGAGATTAATTACTGAAAATATAAATAAAATATAAAGTTTTTTCTTAAAAAACGTTTGATATGAATCTGGGCATTATAAAGATTTTGCATGTGAAATTTTAAAATTTTCTGATGCAAAAAAGTATTTTTAATCTTAAAATAAATATTACTTTGCATGATATATAGGCATCATGAGAAAATAAAAAACAGACATGAGAAAAACATTGCTTTATAAATCTTAAGACTTAATAAAAAAAAATTGATATTTTGCGTATGAAAGCATTGTAATGTTTACTGATAATCTACCAAAGTTCGTTAACATTCGCTTACTAATTTATAAGTTATAGCAGGAAAACTAACAAGCACAAAATGGTTACCGAGCCCATGATGAAAAATTTCATTGTATTGCTACTTGTGATTTTGTATGTTCTAATTAAGTAATTTAGTGTAAGTAAATATTCTTCTGTAGTAGTTTTAATTGTAACAGACAAGTTAAGATTTGTGTGTGTATTTCTAGAATATTTGAGGCTCCAATTTCTTTTGAATAAAATACATTAACTTGTAGATTCTCTCTTGATGTTACAACCATTAAATTTGTTTCATAGAATGTTATGTACTCTGGTAGATTTAAAGATACATGATGAGGAAACTGTTAATTGAAACTATAAAAGTAATATATACATATTTATATAGGTGTTTAGAATAAAATATTGTTTTATAATTCAGAAATATATAATCTCAACCTTCCAGGCTCCTCATAACCCAGGGGAACTTCCCCAGCAAGTGGGCAATAAGACAGAGTGTGCTCTGTTAAGCTTTGTTGTGGAATTGGGTAGAAGTTATCAGTCAGTAAGAGATGATATCACAGAAGAAAAGTTACACAAAGTGTACACTTTTAACTCCGTTCGGAAGTCTATGAGCACTGTTATTCCTATTGAAAATGGATTCCGAGTCTACACAAAAGGAGCTTCGGAAATGATTATGAAAAAGTACGTGTTCTAAAGTTTTAAGATAGTATGTTCAATTTCTTCACATTCTTGTTTAGGTAGGCTTGCCTTTTACTATAGGTATAAAGTGTATTTCCTTTAAATCTATTCTATAGATGAAGATAATGTTGTTTTCCAGTTATGCACTTTAATTATTTATTCTCTACATTATAACATTTTATATTAAAAACATTATGGTGTATTAACAATCAGTAATTAATTTGGTAAATATTTCTTTATGGAATGTGAACACAGAAATATGTAATTGCTAAGTATTCAGTTAATTTGTTTCTTAGTTCTGTGTTATTTTTCACTATTAAACATTGATACAGGATGCTGGTAATGATCCTGAATGTTCATTTGTATAAATCCTTACCATTTTTGTTTTGTTTTTAATTATCCATCCATTTTGAATAAAGAATATTCATGAAAGTTTCAATGTTGACATTTTTATTATTTCATTTTTTAAGTATTATTATTTTGTGAATGTTTAGGAACCTACCACATCCTACCAATAAGTAAATAGACACCTGCAAGCTTTATGGTGTCATATGTAAGTAATCCCAACTTATAGGCATAAGTATAGTTCTGTAAAGGCTATAGAATACAAAAAGCCTTGCCATTCCACGGATGAAAGCATCCCCGTTCATAACTGTAGTTTCATGAGGTCACCTAGTGCAGTGATGGAAAGGTGGTCAAAATTAGCAAGAATTTCCAGGTCACAGTGAATAAGGTGAAAATGCAGCTTCAGTCACAATGGAAAACATTTTGCATGAACAATGAACTCTTTATGCTATGAAGAGAAGTGTGAAATATCATTATCATCAAATGGCTACTGCTTTTTCAAGTGTGATCCATAGATGGAAGTCGCTCTTTATTCCAGGCAGTATTGTACAATGGTAGCAGTAAAATCACAGATGATATCGCATCTGAGAATCATGAAACGTCGAGCAGTAATGACCATCCCTCCACAAACCACCAGCTGTGGCCATTTAGCAGACCACTGCACCCCTACACCATAACATAAACACTAAAATATTTTTTCATGACTTGGTTCTTGGGAGGATAGTTGCACAATCCAGGATAATCCACTGTGCAAATCTAGACTTGCCATAAAAAGAATTAGAGTTACAAAGGGTAGAAGAGCAAGGCCATCTACCAGTGATGAGCTTACCAGACAAGGCAGCATTTTCATATAAGATGGGGCTCCTGCTTGTTCAGCTACTCATCAACTGATGGTGTGAAGATTAGGTATTACTGCTCTTCAAAGCCCTTGCAAGTTACCAAATATGAACCCTACTTAAGTATGCATCAACCATTTTTGATTTTTCCCCACAAAAGTATCCCAAACAACCAATTTTTTGTGGCAGTTTTGTACATATTAGTTAGAATATGTAACTGTGTTGCTAAATTAAATACTGCAAAGTGCAGATTCATCAAATACTAATGGTAACCTGTGTATGTACCCTTTGTTTCATGTATGTTTATTAGATAAAATGACATCCTGTCTGGAATGGATGTCTATTTACTTATTGGTAGGCTTGTATCAATATACATCATTAGGCACACAACCTCTAGTTTGTTAATTTTTTATTTTAGGTGTTCTTATATCTTGGGAACAGAAGGAATAATAGAAAGATTTTCCAAAGAGGCCCAAGATAAGCTTGTAAAAATGGTTATTGAGCCTATGGCTTGTGACGGGTTACGTACCATTTGTCTGGCATATAAAGATTATGTACGACACAACCCTGACATTAATCAGGTGCAGTATGATGTGGAACCTAACTGGGACGATGAAGATGACATCGTAAGCAACATGACATGTATATGTGTGGTGGGCATCGAAGATCCTGTTCGTTCAGAGGTAAAGAATTTGCTTTTGTGTTTCAGTGTAATTTCAACTAAACCATGGCATGGCTTGCACAAGCTAAAATGATTGAAATGTAAGATACTTTCTACTTTTAGTTTGTAATTTTTCAGTACATACTGTTAGGTAAATAAAACTACTAATCAGTTTACAGTACAGTTTGGTTTGGATGATTTACCCCATAGATTGTGGTATACTTACAATATTTCTACTTCTTTCCTTAACTTTAACATACTGAGCAAACTAAAATATTTATTGCAAAGTCTAGTAGCATATATTCATTGTGCAATTTACATTTTTATATGAAAAATATATCAATACTGGTTAATTATTTTCAGAAAAAATGTGTGGACAACAGACGTATGATGACAGCCATTTTAGAAAGTCATAATTAAATCAGATTTCCATGATATTAATACGTAACTTGGAATGTCAAGAAATAAGATATGACTTACTTAAGTCAAACTTATTATGTGTGAAAGAGAGTATTTAAAAAAAAATACAGTCTAGATGTGACTTTTCTCTATCTGGGTAGAGGAGCTTCTGTTTCTTGTACATGATGATAAAGTAGTGGTAATATGAATCATTCAGCTATGTTAAATCCTAAGTTATTATTATTATCTTGGTGATATGTGGAATTTTCTTTTTCAAACAATCAACTCTCATTTAGTTTCTTTCCTTATTTTCTATTGCACTCTGTGCTTCATGTTTCCTTATTTTTCTCCCCTCAAGGTAGATTCTTGTACATTGTGAGGGGACCTCCCAGGGAAGTTTTGTATCTTCAGTTTACCTCCTCTGGGATTTGAACTTCCACCCACATGTTTGTTATGCGTGGCATCCTGTGAAGGAGAGGATTGTTGGCTTAGGGGGTGTTATTAAAGGGCTAGTTTATATTTGTGGCATATTGACTCATCCTCCAACACTGGTACTTAGTTGACCCTGGCCCAACAGGACCAGCCAACTGATCCTGGGGGAGCCACTCCAAGGCCACCTGCCAACACGTTCTCAACAGGTGTTGTGGATATTGTGTCTGATACTGGTGTTTGGGTATAGTGCTAACGACACCCTGTAGTATCTGCAGTGTCCTTGTTTGGCATTGTAGTGCATCCCCTTGTAGGGGTCCATGGTGGGTGGGGTCAGTGGTCACTGAATTTTCTCCATTTTTATGGATCCTGCACCCAGTGACCCCAAAAAAAAAAAAAAACCAAGCTACAACGTTTAGAAGACTTTGATCAGCAGTCACCTTCCCATCCTATTCTTGAACCTCAATTTTTCATTCTTCACTCTGTCTGACAAACCTATAGGGCAAACTCTTCATTTTTCATTTAGAAGGGATTAGAGGGGCTTGCTGGCTCTATGAAGTCAGTTAAGAAGCTACGTTCTGGGTACATCTTGGTGGAAACATCTATACCGAAACACAGAGAACTCCTCCTGAAGTCGAAAGCCATTGAGAATATACCTCTTGAGGTTACTCCCCATGCTACTTTGAATTCCTCATGAGAAGTTATCATTTGAGAGGGATTCTACAACATCCCGGAGTTGTAGATCCCCGCTTGTTTCTCCAGCCAAGGAGTTTCTACTGTGTGACATATTTTCACTCGTAAGGATGGAAATATGCTGCCTACCAATGTTCTTGTATTGACGTTTGCATCGACCCTCTCAGGTGATTCCAGTGTCAGTGGTTTGGACATTTTAAGGCATCTTGTTGTGGTTCTTTGATGTGTGCTCCTTGTGATGCAAAGACCATGACTCCTACAAGTGTCAACTTGACCCTCACTGTGTGGTAGTTTACGTATTATAAACAACATCTGTTATCTCTAGGCCCAGAAGTTGTTGTACCCAGTTCTATCTCAGACATGTACTGCTGCACACCATTCCATTGCTACAGTGGATGTGCAGACAGATGTTTTAAGACCTCCATCAGAGTCTTTCTCACACCATGTAAAGAGTCTTTTGTCCTCTGTGAATGCAAGAGTTGACAAGCCTATGTCTCTGTCCCCACTATATTTTCCATTGACTTCTCAGGTCCATCTCCTTTGGCCCTGAGGTACAGAACCATTATTTGGTCATACACTCAGTCACTGGAGTCTCCTTCTGACAGAGATCTACCCAGTTGTCCTAGTGCAGGTTTCATAGAGATTGATAGACCTATTTCTACTAAAGAAAAATGTTGTGATCACAAACAAAAGGTTATTCACTCAGTTCTTCTACTTTTAACTAAAATGGCCACTTTGATACTGTGGGAATGTCAAGGCCTTCATTCTAATTTGGATGACATTAAGGCCTTGATTGATATATATCCTCCCATGTGTCTCTCCTTGCAAGAAACATTCACTTGACCCACTACTGTCACCTCTCAGCAGTTTTCCTTGTACAGTAATGACAGATTGTATGATGTTCGAGTTCATGGAGGTGTGGCGCTGCTGGTTGAACAGCACATCCCCATCTTGTCTGTGCCACTTGATGCATCCTAGAGACTGTAACCATCTGTATCTTCATGGGTCATACCATCACTCTGTGTTCTGTGTATCTGTCTCCAGGAGAGACTTATGATCAATCAGATCTTGATGCTCTTATAGAACATTTGCCATCTTCATTTTTCCTGTTTGGAGACTTTAATGGACACAATCCCGTCTGGGGTGGTGCCTGGTATTAATGGGTGGGGTCCTTTTATGTAGAGTATGCTCTCTTCATTACTGGTTCTTTTACCTATCTTTTTCCTCATTTTTCTTGGAGGGTTGACAGTGACCCATGGGGCAGTGGTCATTTTACAATCATTTTGAAGGAGACTGGCTAAGATGGATGCCACCAGACCTGTATGCTATGGTGGAAGTTGGAGCAGACTGACTGACTCTACTTCACCTCTTTCTTGAAACTTGTTCCTGCTGTCGTTAGTCTTCCATCCATTAATGACTGCATGGAGACAGTAACAAATTGTATAATTCAAGCAGTTGTTTGTTCTGTCCTGAAAAACTTTGACACATTTCTTACGATAACCTCATCCATGGTGATCTCCTGCCTTTCAGCAGGCACGGAGGGCTCAGAAACAGGCCTGGGATATATTTCACAGGTATCCCACTTTCTCCAACCACATTGCTTTCCAGCAGGCCTGTGCCTGACTGGTCAGGCATCAAAGCCAGAAGAAATCCTGGATTATGTTCACTACCAACATCTCTTCTACCACAAATTCCAAAGTTGTCTGGAACAAGATTTGGAAGGTCAATGAGAAGTATGCTTCCTATCCCCTTTCTATCTTGCTCTCCAATGGCCAGGAAGCTGCTGATGTAAAAGGAGTATCGTCAATACTCTTGGGGAGTGCTTTTCCCACCTTTCCAGCACTTCTGTCTCTTCTTCCATCTTCTTGGCCATTAAGTCTCGGGCTCTATGATAACAATTCCCCATTTACACTGGTGTAACTTATGTTTGCTCTTCATTGATCTGGTAGTACATCAGTTTGACCAGATGATGTTCACTATGAGATGCTATGCCGTCTCTCTCTTGCTCTTCTTCTGATTGTTTTTAAACAGATTTGGCAGGAGGATGTTTTTCCTGATGCTTGGTGCATGGCTATTGTTCTCCCTCTTTTCAAAGCCTGGAAGGATCCCAAGATTCCTTCTAATTATCATGTAATTCCTTTGACTAGCTGTCTTCGTAAGGTTCTGGAGAGGATGGTTAATGCATGTCTTGTTTGGTTCCTTGAATCAAACAACCTTATCTCACTCACCCAATGTGGTTTTTGTTGACAGTGTTTCACCATGGATTACCTAATTCGTCTCAGCCTTGATCAGGGAAGTCTTCCTCAAGAGAAAGCATCTTGTTTCTATCTTCTTTGATCTTGAGAAGGCTTATTACACTACATGGAGGTTTGGCATTTTGCAGGACCTTCACTCCTATGGGTTGCGAGGCCATTTGCCCATTTTGATTCATATAATTTTACTGGTTCCTGAGGTAAAGTTCTTGGGGCTTCTATTTGACTGCAAGCTAACTTTTATTCCTCACATTAGATAGCTTTGTGCCAAGTGTACACTGGCACTGAACATCCTCCGTGTCTTTTTTTTTCCACTTCTATGGGTCTGTGGTTCTACCCTGAAGTTGATGGGCTCTGTACATCATCTGATGCTTTTGGCTCTGCGTAGGGGTTTTCACACTTTGCCAGTCCAGAGTCTGTACACTGAGCCCCATTAACCTCCTCTTCACCTCAGATGTTCACAAATTTCCTTGCTTTATGCTACCAAGCTTCAATCCTTATCACAGTATCCTACCTGGGGTTGTGTCTTCCTTCCTCAGTGGGCTGTGCTCTTTAGGAATATATGGTCTGCCATTCCTCCTTTTGGCCTTCGTATCCAGGCACAGCTGGCTGTATTGGGTCTATCATTGTATGATGTTGCTGAGTCTGATGATCAGCCCATCCCACCATAGCTCATTACCATCCCAACCTGTGTCCTTTCCTTGAATCATCTGAGGAAGGTGGATTCTCTCAATTGGAAGTACTGTCTTCTTTTTGCCAAACATCTTTCAAACCATTCTTCTGTTTCAGTTTTTACAGAGGATTTGAAATCAGGTGACTCTGTAGGTTCTGCCATGGTTTGTTGTGACTCGGTGGTTGCTCACAGGATCATCTCTACAGTTTCTGTGTTCATTGCTGAATTGCATGCTATTTCTCTTGCCCTGGACCATATAGAAGCTAAGCAATACACTAACTGTACTATTTACATAGACTCTCTTAGCTCTATACTGGTCTTGTAATCACCTAGTATAAGTTCTCACCCTTTTCTCTTGGACATTAAGAAATGACTGACTCAGTTTTCTCTGTTATCTGTTACTATCCAGTTTTCTGGATACCTGGTCATGTTGGTATCTAGGGGACAAGCTATGTCCATCTACTTTGGTGCTGTCTCAGCGATGCCTGTCCCCTGTATGGACAATGGTCCTGTGAGCAAGGCCCGGCTTTGTGCCAGTTGGCAGTTGGTTTGGGTTGAACAACTTCATAACAAGCTTTTCCAGATGAAACTTACTGTTGTTGTTTGGCCATCTAGTTTCCATAAGGATCAAAGGGAGAAAGTTGTCTTGGCTAGGCTATGCATTGGTCACTGTTTTTTAACCCATCATCTTCTTTTATATGGGACTGATCTGCCAATGTGTGATCTTTGTGACACTCAGGTCACAATTGCCCATGTTTTGCTTTCATGCATTCGTTACGTATTTTAGACGTATTTTCTTGGGGTTTACCCCTGACATTGGGCAGTGTCATTGGCAATGGTGACACTGTCTAACTTGATTGAATTTTTAGCTTTTTTAGACATTGTTTAGTTTTAACTTGTTTTCTTTTTTACATTTTCTTTAATTTTACTTATGGAAATTTTTATCAGTTGTTTGGTGCAGATAGCCTAGTTGACTTGTGCCAAAAAATTCCAAACAACTAACTAACCAATCCTTATTTTCTATCACACCGTATGTGTTGTGTTTCTTTATTTTCTATTCCACCCTATGTGTCATGTTTCTTTATTTTCTATTCCACCCTTTGTATCATGTTTCCTTATTTTCAATCACACCCTATTCTTCATGTTTCCTTACTTTCTATCACACCCTATTCTTCATGTTTCCTTATTTTCTATCACACCCTATTCTTCATGTTTCCTTACTTTCTACCACACCCTATTCTTCATGTTTCCTTACTTTCTATCACACCCTATGCTTCATGTTTCATTATTTTATATCACACCCTTTTCGTCATGTTTCCTTATTTTCTATCACACCCCATTCTTCATGTTTTTATTTTCTATCACACCATATTCTTCATGTTTCCTTATTTTCTATCACACCCTTTTCTTCATGTTTCATTATTTTATATCACACCCTTTTCTTCATGTTTCCTTATTTTCTACCACACCCCATTCTTCATGTTTCCTTATTTTCTATCACACCCTTTTCTTCATGTTTCATTATTTTATATCACACCCTTTTCTTCATGTTTCCTTATTTTCTACCACACCCTATTCTTCATGTTTCCTTATTTTCTACCACACCCTATTCTTCATGTTTCCTTATTTTCTATCACACCCTTTTCTTCATGTTTCATTATTTTATATCACACCCTTTTCTTCATGTTTCATTATTTTATATCACACCCTTTTCTTCATGTTTCCTTATTATATATCACACCCTTTTCTTCATGTTTCCTTATTTTCTACCACACCCTATTCTTCATTTCCTTATTTTCTATCTCTCACCGTATGTGTCATGTTTCCTTATTTTCTACCACACCCTTTTTGTCATGTTTCCTTATTTTCTACCACACACCCTATTATTCTTGTTTCCTTTCTTATATCTCACTCTGGATATCCAGTACTTGGCTTATTAACGAGAAAAGCATCAATTCAACCAATGGAAGTACATGAAGTAACAATACTCAGAATTTCCCTTGCAGCCTAGGTTTGATTCACTTATAAAATTAAGTACTTAAAAATGTTCTGGAGCTTTTCACTGCAATAAATTCATCACATCTTGGAAGTAAAACTGTACAATTATAACAGAACTCAATGACATTTATGTTAATGATATATTTTACTAGAAATTAGTAAGAATATTTAATGGTTATGAATTTTTGTGCTGTAACAGCTAAATCATTAGTTGACTAACTTAATTTCAAGGTTTGGTTTGTTGAGTTAATTACATCAAAATAATAACGCCAATAAATCGATACAGCAGCCAGTCAAAAAAATATTTGATTAGGGTTAGATGTTTAGCATGCTGTAAATATTAATAAATGAAATTAATGATATTTGCTTTTACAGGTTCCTGATGCTATCAAAAAGTGTCAGAAGGCAGGAATAACTGTAAGAATGGTAACTGGAGACAATGTGAACACAGCTCGTTCAATAGCCATGAAATGTGGCATAATTAAGCCCGGAGATGAGTTTCTGGTGCTCGAAGGCAAGGACTTCAACCGTAGGGTACGAGACAGTACTGGTGAGGTGAGTGTAGGAAGTTAACTAACACTTCAACCGTAGGGTACGAGACAGTACTGGTGAGGCGAGTGTAGGAAGTTAACTAACACTTCAACCGTAGGGTACGAGACAGTACTGGTGAGGCGAGTGTAGGAAGTTAACTAACACTTCAACCGTAGGGTACGAGACAGTACTGGTGAGGCGAGTGTAGGAAGTTAACTAACACTTCAACCGTAGGGTACGAGACAGTACTGGTGAGGTGAGTGTAGGAAGTTAACTAACACTTCAACCGTAGGGTACGAGACAGTACTGGTGAGGTGAGTGTAGGAAGTTAACTAACACTTCAACCGTAGGGTACGAGACAGTACTGGTGAGGTGAGTGTAGGAAGTTAACTAACACTTCAACCGTAGGGTACGAGACAGTACTGGTGAGGTGAGTGTAGGAAGTTAACTAACATGAAAGTTTGCTTTGGTAGTAAATATAAGATGCATGACATTTATCCTTATCATCATAAAAATTACAACCGAGATGACTGTAATCATTGTTACATAACATTGAGTTAGTAGCTAAAACATTCTGATTATTCTTATATAAGGAATGAAAGTTATAAAAATGAGGGAATGTATATTCACATAAAAATGAGAAAAATTATTCTGAACAATTTGAAATAAGTACCAAATTTTGAGAATGCATTGTACATATAAATTATTTAATTTAGCCTTGTGTACACAGAGTGGATCTATTCGACCAATCCCAAATTAAAGAATTAATGGGAACTATAATTCTGTATTTACTATTTGTAACTTCACGAAATTTACGTTTTTTGTAATCGTTACGAATATATTGCACAAACAAATCTGAACTTTTTTATAAAGTATTTTTACTAAAGATTTGTCTGTGAATTTACTGACGCAGGCTATGACTAGTCTGAGTGCCGGGTAATTTAAGATATTTTTTGTTTGTTTGTTTACTAGAATGACTGCATATTATAACAGACAATTACAGTTATTTATATTAACAGGTTTAAGCCTTTTAACTTTTAAAAAGTGCTATTGTTTAATCTTAATGTTTTATTGCTCTTTGAATCATGTCTAACTATTGCAACAAGTAATAACTCGGTTAGCAGGAATTTGGAGAGTTTAGGGTAACAAAGTTTTAAGTTGCATCATGTGACATCTATGTCCTTGTGGGTTGCTTGAGGAGTGTCACAAAAAAATTGTTTAATTTCTTTTCCTTGAAGTTTTCTTGTATAACATAATACGTTTTTAATTTTTACATTGATATTTACTTTGTTAAAAGTTATATATCAATAGAAAAAATATATACTATAAAAATACAAGATATTTACCATTAATTCTTGTTTTATAGGCCTATTTTGGCTCAAACAAATTCTCTTAACATACTTTGCTAGTACTGTTTTTTTCCAATTATATTACGTGTCCAAACAATAAAATAGAATGCCCCAAAACTACTGTAATGTATTTTTTTTTTTTATCAACCTATAAATAGGTCAAAAATTTCATTACTTACCAAAGCACCAACTTCAGTCTGTACTCAATCAAATTTGCTTATGAGATGTTGCCTTTTACCAAAACAAATTAACATAAAGTCACCATAAACATACATTTAATGAAATTGTCTTTTTGTTGGTTATAAACATATATCACTGACAAAGTAAGCCTAAGTAAATAGTTAATTTCAAAAGCATGAAGATGTTGAAGGAGCTTATGGTGGGTGTAAAAACTTTATTCATGTCTTAGAAAATAAAAAAGGTGACAGGTTTTTATATTAGATACTTACCTTTCATTTATACAGTTGATGTTTGTAAATAATGAATATTCTGAAACCTCAAAACAGAGTAACATCATGTGATACAGAGAAGTGAAGATTGAGAAGTTAAATATTTTCTTTTTGGATTAAGAAATTAAAACATACATAATATTAAAAGTTGAATTATAAACTACATTTTGCTGCCAAGTTTATTGATATACATCAGTAATAAAATTGAATAACTAATTTTGAATACGACTGTGTAAAAGGTCTGAAATGTGCACTTTGACTCCCACTTTTGTACATAAGGTTAGTATAAAATTTGAACTAGATTGTTTTAAAAACTGACCAAATTTATTCTTACAGAATATGAAAGTATTGTCCACTCATTCTTTCCTTGCAGATCCAGCAACATCTGATTGATCAGATATGGCCTCAACTTAGAGTTTTGGCCAGATCTTCCCCTCAGGACAAGTTCACCCTAGTGAAGGGAATTATAGATAGTAAGTTGAGCACGAATCGAGAAGTAGTTGCAGTCACGGGAGACGGCACTAACGATGGTCCCGCTCTCAAAAAAGCTGATGTGGGCTTCGCTATGGTATGTGTTATTTAGGAGAAATGACTAGCTATTATCCACACACTTGTGATTATAGTATTTACTAACTGAATCCATTGAAATTTGGTAATTCTAAGATATTGATGAGTTATTCCTCTCGTATTGTTGAAATTCAATATTTTATGGTCACTCGATCACTTCGAGTGTCCTCCCCAATTATTAGGGTCAGTGACTACGGTTCTCTGTTGTTCTTTGTTCCTCACTACTCTCAACAACTTTTCTAATTCAAGCTTCTCATCTCTAATGTAGTGTCAAGTGTATGTCTGACTGCCTTTTGTTTTTCCTCCTTCGATTTTGCTCTTCAGAATGTCTGCCAACCTTCTCTCAGATCTGATTATGTGCTTCAGTTTTTGACATATGTCTAGTAGTTATTTTCTGGTAGCTATAGGAAAAACACAAATTAATATTACTACTATTTAAATACAGTTTTATTTTCAAATAACATACTCTCAACCCATGCACCATCATGTCTGACCATGATTATACACTGGACAAAACTGCATGACCACAGATATACCTGAATCATGGGATACTTCTAGGACACAATGGAGAAGAAATAAATTATCATTAGCATCAAAATTCATGTTAGTCTTAGCACGTTGGTATGCATATTTTGTGCCTAGATATGGTTTTATAAATCAGTATTTTTTTGTTCACCATTGATTGGCACGGAGCACGAAAGCAGCTTTAATAGATTACACAAATAATAGCTAAGTTCCCACGTAAATGGAATGTAAGGTCTTTGGCCATGGCTTCTTCTCATCTTCCTAAAACTAGGCCACGAAGGATCATTTTACCACAACCTAAAAGTGTTTAACATATTACTATTTAGAGATAGTAAAGCATAGTAGTTAAAAAAAACACAATAAATCTACACACTTCGGGTGAGTTTTTATTTCTTTCCCTTTCATTACTTATCTTTAATCAATTGATTATAAAAAAAAGATAATAAGTATAATAATTATAAAACAGAATATACACCATTAAACATTGTCTACAGCACAAAACATCAAGATACATAGTACAGCTTGGGCAAGGGTCCATGCCAGGTAATATCTTCAAGACAGAGGAGGAATATCACAAATAACAGTTAAGAAATATGAATCAGGAATTTGGAGATAACTTCAAGTTTTGGAAAAGAAACTGAATTAAAAAATACTGAACTATAGAATGTTTCACTGACAGTAACTAATAATATGGTACGTGTAAAGGGTTTCCAAAAATATGGTGTTATTTGTTATCCATGAATCTTTGTAGAAACTATTTAACACACCACCGATTAGCTAAATTCATCATGTTTGCCTAATAATTTATAATCTGATGCATCAGAGATCTGATTAATATATCAGGAAAATTTATTGTTTGTCTAGAGCAACAAACAAAATGCTAGGGACAGGAAAGAATAAAGACTGAAGGTATAGATGAGCATGCACAGCTTGACATAATTGGATTTATAGTTTTGGTTTTGTTTTGAAACTTTCAAATCATGATATGGTTTTGAGATCAAGATATTAGTTACTAACTGTGTGGTGTTAGTATGGTCAAATACATGCAATCCGTGCATGTTTTTCATTGTGTCCATGTCATCACTGAAATAAATTATTTGAGTGCTTTTACTAAAAGTTTTACTTGATGGCAATTTTTATTTAATGTAATAAGCAAAATTGTGCAAGAACAAAAGGAAAACTTGACATTTCAGGCAGTTGAGGGGCGTAATACTTTTATGTAATATTACTGCCAGTGAAGAACATGTTTGAGCATGGTAAGATTCACGTCTTTGCCTCTATGCCTCAACATTTCAGTCAGTTGAGGGGCGTAATACTTTTATGTAATATTACTGCCAGTGAAGAACATGTTTGAGCATGGTAAGATTCACATCTTTGCCTCTATGACTACGTGGACTATTGTACGTAGGAATAATGTGACTATAAATATTGTGTATGTTTTATAAGTAGATCTGATTGTGTGTATGAAGTGTTCTGTATATATAATTAGAACTTACAAGGTTGTTATATGTAAGTGTAAATACCCTGGTGATTTCAGTAACAAACAAAGCTTGTGTAAACCTGAAAATATTTTCACCAGTGTGATCTATTCATACATATATATGGCCGTGTTAATGCGTTCGGAACTTGATGTGTGCTGTTTCAAAGTACATGCAAAAGTAATATAATCTACTCTTGATTACTAGATGATTTCACTAACATGTAATTGTTTTGTATATGTATATTGGAATTATGAGTTTACTGCATTGTATGATTAGCAAGTGAAAGTTCTGCACATTGTTATGAAAGCACACACATCAGAGAATTTAATTCAAGTCACAGCATAAACAACACTACAGATTTTAACGTTTGTGATTATTAAACTTTGATCTTTAATACACAAATATGTTTGGTGTAAGGTGTGATTGGTATGCGCTGTCATTAACAAGCGATTATCTTCCTTTGCTTTGTATGTTATGATAAAGTATCATTTTGTTGTCTTGAAACTTTTACTTGTTCTACGGTAATTCCTGTACACAGAATCCAAAAATGATATCCATTTTTCTCCATCACATACAGATTTTACACAAAATGTCATAAAGCAATACATAAAAGAAAGATCACAGCACGTAG